GTATTTTGAGGCTCTAAGCCTCATTTCTTTTCCTCACAGATGGGAAAAAAAGTCTGACATTATACGATTTAAAATAAAAACGAATAAATAAAAAGATAAAACACTGGCATGTAATTTACGTTAGAATAAATAGAATGATTTTGAATAATAGATGAGAGTAAAATCTACGTCACTTTTGGGGAAACCAATGCTGTCATTTGAACGCGATCAAGCCTGAAGTCACAGAGATCTTCTGTTACTGTACTTTCTTCTTCGAGGAAGTACGGAAACACGTAACTCTGGATTTGTTTTAATGTTTGAGGTGCAATGAACGACACAGCAGCTTTTTGGCATGTTAAAACTATTATTTTCTGCCTCGCTCATGAGAGTAACAGCTGGCGAAATTACAGCCTCGAACTAATTTACAAATTGTTTGCTACTAAAATGATATTTATAAAGGACTATTATCATTATCATAAGCAAGACAATAAATGGCAAAGATATGTAGAAAATAAACGTATTTAAGATACGTTCATAAGAAACGTAACGTGGGAGAAAATATGTTTCTAGAAGATATGTAGAAAATAAACGTATTTGAGATATGTTTATAACAAACGTAACGTGGGAGAAAATACGTTTCTAGCTAAACGTAATTGAGAATGCAGTTTAGTTCCGTGGGAACGTAATTTTTAGGAGACAGGGTTGCCTCAGGTCAAATATTACATTTGTCATAAAGTCTACTTATTATTTTTAAAACTAATGATATTCCCATGACTCATGACTCAACCTAGCTTTGTGTTTAGTGCTTATAAGCAAATGTCAACTGCTAAAAATGTTAAAGTAAGCAGCTTTAATAACAAACGACTCTTCTTTCGAGCACAGATTACTAATAGGTGTCAGGAGAATACCATAATATGCTACATAATAGCATAGTTGCTGAATTGAATTGTGCATTATGATAATGTACACATAAACACAGTTCCTATAAATTGTAAATTGTCAGTCTTTCCTTTATCCAATTTGAAGAACCTAGATTGGAACAGGAGCGATCTACTGTCTTTATTCAGGTTTGTCAGGCAAATAACAATTCATTTTCAAAACACCAACTGATGTCCGCTCTGCACAAATGAGAAAACTCATCCATTCTCTCTAAGAGGGGAGCATATGGCAAAGCATGATTCAACCTCCAAATAAATTGCTGTAAGAAGAAAGAAATCATAAGGCACATGCATCACTCTCACCTTGAATATGTCTGACCCTGTGTGGATGAGGGTTGTGACGGGAGAAGAATGAGTGATGACTCAAAGCACCAAAGTGCGGACTGCTTTTTGTCAGCATCTTGGTGAATTCAGGAGTAAATGACACCTGATTTGTTTGACTGCGGCTCCTTTCTCCTGTCGTCCCACAGGAGTCTGTTCTCTGTGCCATCGACATATCTTGAAAGGACAGCTGGAAGTTTTGTCTGAATCTGTCTGTAGTGCTGAAAACTAAAACCTAACTCGACACTCACATTTAATTTGCTCCAAAGACAATTTTGCATTTAGAATTAGACCAAGACATTTTGTTTTTTGTGTTCTACCAGGTTGAAGTCATTATATTTTTAGAAGAAAATACATTTGAATAATCACTTTACCTCAGAAAACATCCTGCAGCTCGAAACCTTTGGTGTTTCATGAACTGTGTTGCTTTTGTTGCTAAGAAACCCTTAACAAAAGACAATGGCACAATGGGAAACAGGCATTCCAGTTCATTTAAACTGGATTTTCAAATGCAAAGCAGCAGAAATAAGCTATTATGTGATAGTTAATTTAATAAACATATATTCGATTAAAGCCTACTTTAGCTGTCAATGTGAACTTCCTGATTGAGTCACCTAACACAATGCTACTGTATGTTTAAATTAACCATAGACTGTATATAAAATTAACCCATTTTGTGATGCAAATATTGTGGCTTATGAGTATGAATGTTCTTTGATGAACCTGATGATTAATTCCACTAATGGTAATGCCGCGTCTCACTTGTGTCATTCATAGTTCTCAGTTACATTACATGTTACTTGTTAGACGCTTTTATCCAAAGCAACTTACATACTCAATACTGTGGGCAATCCCCACAGGAGCAATTTGTGGTGAAGTGTCTCAGGTACACAACGACATGCTGACTACAGTGGGAATCGAACTTGCTATCCTCTGATTCGGAGATCAGCGCATTAATCCACTGCGCCACACGCCTCCTTGTTACTCAGTAGATAATTGTAAAATGTTGATTCTTAACTTTTTATGAGGCAAGCTGCATACTGTACTGTATCGCAATATATATGATTATTTTCTATCAATTTATGATCCAAAGCAGTTGGAGTTCATTCTTTTTTTTCCCAGGAGAATGTCTGCATGCATTTTTCCGAGTAAATAGGATCTGAAAAGTAAGGGGCTTAAATAAGAGTGAAAACGATCAATGATTTTGTTTTTTTCAAACCACATGTTGGACTGACTGTTGAGAAGCATTGTTACGGCCTATCCAAAAACAATTAATCACTTGGCTAAAGGGGAGTTGATAAATGCCAGACAGCCACAATGTTTGAATCCTATCAGATACATGGAGCAAGAACTCCGCCACATCCGCTGGTAAATAATGTTGACAGGAGTTCTGAGAACAATTTGCTGCTGGTGATAGCAGCAGATCTTAACATTGAAATATGTAAATGTAAATATGTAAATATGTTATTTATGCTCCTGGGTTTGAAAATACATTAGGAAAACATCGAGACTGCTGATTGTTTTTCCTTGCATAAAAACAATAAAAATGAATATAAAATGACAGTTTATGCCAAGTAAACATTTGGGAAGAGTGCCTCTCATGGTCTTGTTGTTACAGCAGTTACCAAGCAACCAATGTGAGTTTCTTGTCAAGAAAATGTTGGACTTTAATTGCAGTGTCGGGCAACTTTCTGTATTCAAACATTATCAAAAATATTTTTGTCTAAGACTCGAATAAAAAATGAAATTATAATCTGAGACGCTGTGGGCCCGATGGTGTCCTAAACGCAAAGGCTTACAATTTAATAAATACTGTGTTGGTTATTTGTGAACATTAGTAGTCATAAGTAGTCTGAATCTGCTATTTTGAGTTATGAGATATAATTTTACAGGGCAAACAATAATAACAGTTAGAGGCTGTGATATGTGTAAATAATAAATGATAGATTTACTAAAGCAAGCTTTGTCTTAAAGCTATCATGGTAAACATAATGGTGCATGGTTCTGACTCAACCTTGCATCGTTTTGATTAAAAAGAAAGTCTGATACCCGGGGTCTTCCCCAAAGTAATATAAAGTGGACCCTGTGTATTCCAGCTGTTTTGCTGCATACTCTGTAACTGATCAATACCAACGTTTTATCGCCTATGGGACTGTTTACTACTCTGTTGTTTTTATTTTTTAGACATGCTATTACATCAGTTTGGTCCTGGGCTCTTCAACTATTGGATGAATTGCTATGAAATTGGCCACAGGCATTCATATTTCCCTCGGGAGGAATTTTAATAATTGGTGTCCGGATAACTTTTCACCTAGAGCTAAAAATACACACAGACACCGAAAATTGGATTGGTAGATTTTGACCACATAGCCCAAATCCCACTAAAATGTATCTATAGCATTTACCCATAGAGGACAAATGCACACAATACATTGTGTTTCCAATCAGAGTGAAGAACCTGGCAATTAGTCAGAACACAAAACAGCTGAATGAGTTCATCAGTTTTCTCTTGTAGCGAGAGAACATTTGTGATTTCCCTGCAGTTCTGTCTAAATGAAACACAATACATTCAAACAAGGTTAAATGATTTTGGGCTCATCAGTCTCCGTGATCCATTTTTCTTTTACCCAGTTCTCTAAAGCCACACCTACAAAATGTTATGTGTTTCTTACTTTTAACTAAATTGCTGTCAAGCTTAGGGAACTGCAAGATTGACAGCAATAGGAAAAGCCAGGGATCACAAAGGTATTATTCTCTATGAACAAGAATGAAGCCACCAAGCCTTTCAGTCTAAAGGGGTCTTTCAAAAGACTAACATTGGCAAAAAACTGTAAGCACTCAACACCATTGATTTTCTCCTTTCACAATTAAATCCAATTTATTATGCCATAGTTAAGAATACATCTTAACAAGACTGTGTTGTTTAAGATGAGTGTAATCTGACAACAGATTATGAGCCTTTTGGGTTGCAGGTACTTTAAGGCTAATTTGAAGGCTTTACTTTTTTTTCTATCAAAGAGTAATCTTTTGTTGCCCCCCTAATTTTGGTGTCCTTGCTCGTCCACACCCATCTTTAATCTCAGCCTTCATTTTGATCTTGATTAAACAAAAATAAATATGAACCTGGAAATGTTTTCAAAATGGTAGAACCTGCTGCAGTAGGTGTTTCCAGGTCGACATTTTCCCATGAGGACACACAATCCGTCATGGGTGGTTATAAAGTTTGGCACACTGTGTCGACAATCTGATATCTGTAATTTACATGTACGCTGAGGCGAAATGAGGAGTATTAAGGTGGGAAGGTGACGAGACAGGGGCAGGAAACTCAGCAGTTGGGGGTGGGGATGAATGATAGAAGAGGCTTTTATGCAGATTGATCATACAGAACCAGATGCATGGGGGGGTGGAGCAGAGGATGGAGCAGTTCCCACTATGTAACAACGACTTGATGACCTCACACAATATGTTTATACAGCATAGATTGAAATCAGAGGCAGCTTAAAAATACCCTCACATTGCTCAATTTTAAACTAAGTGTTAGCAGAGTAAGCTCAACGTTCCTGAGCATCCAAATAAATCAATAAGTGTTGCCGAGAAATAACAAAACATCCGAGACAGCAGTACTTCATTCAACAAGCATGAGGCGTGGCTTTATTTATACATGTTATTGAACTTTAACCTTGCCTGTAATTGGCAGCCTGTCAGCCATGCACAACAAAATCACAACACAAATTGGTAGCACATTTACGTGAATGTTAACACTACGTTTTTAAGAAAGGAAACGGTGGGTTGAGTTACATTAATGTGCATCTAGATAAAAAAATGCAAATAACGTGGTGTCACTGGAAAGTGCACTGTAGAAATAAGGTTCTACTGTAACCTATAACTGTATTGAAACAAATTGTACAATATGTAAAAGCTGTGGACATCGAACAAAATATTCTGAGAGCATTAACTCGGGTGCTGCATTGTGACATATATTTCATCATTAAAGATATTTTTGGTTGCAGGGGTTTTAAACAGCACATTTGGGGATTTTCTAGTGCATTTTAAATTATTCCGCTGTAATATTGTTCTTTTTTTAATTTCACACTGCTGAGGACATCTTCTATTGCATCATTGGTAAATTGTGCTCTACATTTATTTGTTTACTTTACTTGTATGTGTTTCTTGATTTCTGTTTTCTATTTCTGAATAATTTCTTAAAAGCTTTCTGGGAGGAAATGTATAATTTGGTTCTTATTACAGGACAAGTCTTTTAGAAAGATATTGGATTTGGTGGTTAATTTCTAGAGGATTTTCTTTGAAATACAATCAAATGTAAACTTAATTAAATATTCCTTATTTGCAACCATTTTCTTTGTATGGTGTTTGCCAGAAAACAATGTCACTACTGCATGTCCAGCTGTCCTGAAGCACTGACAAAAGACTGGTTGCATCCGCTTGTATAATAACACTTAATGAAGTGGAAATATATAACAATTTAATCATGTCTCTTTTTGAAACCTAATTAGTGCAAAGCTAATTTTTTTCCCTAGGGAAATGAGGATCTGGCCCCTTAATTAGAGATGAAATGAAGAAATATATGACGACAAAGAAGTAAAATAATTACATTTTATCTGCAGACTCACTATATTTTAAGCTGGGACCCACAGATGGTCATGTGACTGTGATCCACATTGGAAACACACATCATTTTAAGTGTGTGTTTCATTGTTCATTTGTAAGACAAATACTGTGCTATTTCCAGCTGAAAAGTGAACTAATTGGACTATAAAGCATCAAAATGGCCCCATGTCTACACCATGTTTGTCATTTGGATTTATTATAGCTCTGCAATAAAGGTGTTTGTAAAGTGTATGGTTTCTTTTTTTATTACACAGGATGTTGTTTACATGGTTATAACATGTATTGTTGTATACATTGAAAGACTGCATCACCCACAATGTCAACGCCAATACAGCCTTTTTTTAAAAATTGCATTTATAGTAAACAGTGAAATAACATTTGAATGATTTGCATAATGCATTTCCCGTTTGTGTACCATAAAAAGATTCAACGCTAAAAGTAATCATATCATTACCGACCATAAAGGATGATATATTCACACACACACACACACACACACACACACACACACACACACACACACACACACACACACACACACACACACACACACACACACACACACCCACACACCTCTCACTCCCCCTCACAGAGCCACCGCAGCATGTGGAGCTACAGGATGGAGGAGGCAGCTTCCGGACGCATTTGTGGGTTAATGAAAAGATTTCGGCTGTGCACCATCAGTGGTTTTTTTCCTGCCTTGAAGCAAGTTGTTCTTGGGGTTGATGAAGACTAAGAATGGCCGCATCTTCAACAGATTCCGGGCAGGGCTCCACCAAGATAACTCCAGAAGTGTTGCAGGAGATGCTCCAGCTGTACAACCTGAGTCGCCAAGAGTTTATCAATACTTACAACATCCAGCCGCTCGTCTACATCCCAGAGTTACCGTACAGCGCCAAGACCACCTTTGTGATCATGTACACGCTCATCTTCCTGCTGGCTCTGGCTGGGAATAGTTTGGTGATCTACATAGTTTTGAAGAAGCGTGCGATCCAGACTGCCACGGATATTTTCATCTGTTCTCTGGCGGTCAGCGACCTGCTCATCACTTTCTTCTGCATCCCTTTCACTTTGCTGCAGAACATCTCCTCTGAATGGTTCGGAGGTGAGTTGGAAAACTTTCTCACTTTGAAACACAATGATGATAATTAGAGTAGCCTAATTAAGACGCATCAGACCAATACGCGTATCCACTCTTGGAAATCGACTTAATTGAAAGTGGACGAATGCATCATCAGGTTTTACAACTGGTGCACCTGCGTCGCAAATTAGCTGGATTTGAATTTAAACCAAACACAGCAGCACGCCGCGTGTCTGTACGACAAAACAAACAGAGTAAATCGAGCTAATTGCTTTGGTCAGCACACAGGCTCAGATCCCTTGGAGGAATGGAGCTGGGCACAGTAGGAGATAATGGATTTAGATGACAAATTATGTGTCCTCAAGGATTAAAGAGAAATACATAAAAACAGACCATGCAAGTGACTATTTAGCCCAGGAACCGTGTAAGTGATGTGGAAGATATATGCAAACAGGTGGGAACTGAAGTAACTAAGTACATTCACTCACTTCCATTTTATACTATGTACTTCTACTCCACTACAATTCAGAGGTAAATCATGTTGCCTACTTTTACTCCACTGCATTTATTTTATACCTTTAATTACTTTACAGCTTTGGATTCATAATGTGAAATACAATTTTAAAAATACTTTAGTTACACCTTGAGTAAATTCACAAGCTACCTCGCAGTATACAATGTCATTACAATTATAGCTGCACCTTTACATGCTTTCATAAGACTGAAGGTGCTGTCACAGTACAGTCCAATACATTGTTGCTGACAATAAACAACACTTCTCCTACAGCATTGACCTAAAATATTTGATTCATAACACCTGGGGATTATCAGATTACAGATGTAATATATTTTCTCAGTTGGATTTCATTACATTTTACAGTTGGCATTATGTGATACCAACAAGGACCCTTATCGAAGTCTAGAGACATTGAGCGTATCATAGCAATAGTAGGCCAGCTCAAAGCATGTGCTCCCATTAAAATGCATTCACAATTAGTTGAAGGTGAATCACTGTAGACATAACATGTGGGTCTTACTACAGTGCACAGTTTCTCCTGGGTTTCTGCTCAGAGATTCATTATCGAAGGCAAATATGTGTGTTCAAGATACGATCGTTGTGTCATTTCATCGAGACCCAACAGGAAGATGAAAAGATCGAGGGGGAGCTCGCCTCAAGTCTCTGATCAAACAACACCACACAATGTGTTTGGCTGCTTCACTGAACCTCATGTCTGTTTCTTTCTTGCAGGTGTTCTGGTTTGCAAGACAGTTCCCTTTGTACAGACGACAGCCATAGTGACAGGCATCCTCACTATGACCTGTATTGCCATTGAGAGATACCAGGGCATTGTCTTCCCGCTGAAAATGAGAAGACAGTACTCATCCAAAAGAGCATACAAGATGCTAGGTATTCTATGTATGCACGGCTGCCGTGTTGTGCTTTATTGATTGGATGTTTGTGTGTGTTCAGAAAACCTTTTCTGTTAGTATGAAAAAGGCTGCCATTATTTCAAAGATAGTAAATGTGTTAACCCAACATGCCCTAAGCTAAATTAGATGATCCAACTTTCTGGCATGGGGTTTGAAATAGAGACGTTAAGACTTTACCCAAAAAAAAACAAGCAATGAAAATGTATCCAAACAAAACCCAGAACATCTCTCTAGTGTAGAAGGATTAACCTGTTCTAGCTTTTATCCCTGGAAAGGAGGGGGCAGTGAAGCAGCAGACAAGAAATGACACAACAACAACAACAGAAAGTTTGGAAAGCGCTGCTGAAAATCCTTGAATACAACAGTAACACATCATTAAAACGTTTTTTAGGGGCTTATATTTCAGATAAATTATTAACAAAACACTGAAATGTTGTCTACTCACACAGTTTTCTATTTGGAAACAAAGTAATGTGGAAGATTCTTTCAGACATAATTGGCAGCGTGACAATTGCATGAAAGAGGAACTAAACTTACAGCAGCTGTGGCTCATGTTATGTGTTGCTCTCATTGAACCCCTCACAGTATCAACATGTTGAAATATTGAAAAATAAATGTACATGCTGATGGTATCTATTTCTAAATGTTTTATTTTTCTGTATCCCACAGGACTGGTGTGGCTCGCTTCAGTAATTGTGGGTTCACCAATGCTGTTTGTGCAACAGCTAGAGGTAAGTGGGTGGCCCTCAAAGCAATCTATCACAAAATGTGACCAATTCCTTTGTATTTTAGAAGAAAAAATGGCAAAAAGAACAGCAATCATGATGACTGCCCTCTCCAGCACCACAGATGCTTTGCTTCTGGGAAGCAAACTTATGCAGACCAAAAAACATTTAAAAAAAAGACACCTATTGATTGTGATTAACTTTCTAAGCTGAGCTGCAGTCTTTTACTCATTTAAAACACTAACTGCTCTAATCTTTCAGGCATAAAATGAATACCGTACATGAAAATATGTATTAACATGCAGTGGGAGCTGTATCCGCCCGTGACCTGCACAATTCACCGTTATTTAACTTTTGGGTGGAAGTTTAATTTGTAATCGTTAGTTTTGCCCAGTGGAGTTTATTGATTTATTCAGATTTTTGGCGTGGGCACTCCTTTGTACTAAAGTGATATCTGTCTGAATTATTGCCATGCATGTTCTCTTGTTTCTCGAGGTTAAAACAGTAGTAAAGGTCAGTACGGTGGGATGATCCTTATGTGGGTGTTTAGGATTGTTCTGCCAACTTCTTGCAGCTTCTCTGCAGAAGCATCATCTGTGGATTGTTATCCGACTATGGACATTACGCGCAAATTGACTGCCAAAATAATATCAAACCGATTAAAAAAAAATATATATATCAGAAACTCATAGTTGAGTAGCTACTAAATATTTCTTTTTATTATATGGTATGATTAATTTGACTAAGCTAAAGTTGTGTACATCAGTCGTGTAATATTACAAGTTCTTATATGATAGTCTTATAGGGATATTAAACAAGGACATGCTAGAATGGGGTCTTTCCATTTTTGTTTTGATTTATCTTATTTTAAGTTAATAATAATGATATATATTATCTTTGTCCCAAAAAGGATAGAGTAGGAATATTACGTTGATAATATAAAAGTTTCAAAATTTGAGAACAAGTGTTTTGATACTGTACTTGTGACAATTTCTGCACTGGGTTTATGAGGTATTGTTCTTATTATATTATTCAGTGACATGGGAAGAGCAACAAAGCTCTGGCCCTATTCTGTGAGTAGAAAGAATACCTTATGGAAGCCGATCAAAGCCCCTTCAATAAAAAGGTTTTCAGCTGCTCTACTCAGGACAGCTGGAGGATTAGAATTGGGCACTTCAAAATTGAGAAATGATGGTGTGAAAAACAGTAAGAAAATGAATATGTAATATGTAAATACAAATGTAAAATAGCAATCTAAGAGTTACCACCTACATACCACCCTGTCAGTCAGATCAACTCTATCTGCCTCGCTCATTCCTCCAGGACTAACAGCCTTTCTTCCTCTGTCTCAAAGGTGAAGTACGACTTCCTGTATGATCACTACCACGTGTGCTGTCAGGAGAGTTGGCGCTCTCACACTCACAGGCAGGTGTACACCACCTTCATCATGGTAGCGCTGTTCCTGCTCCCGTTGGCGGCCATGCTCTTCCTCTACACGCGTATTGGCATCGAATTGTGGATCCGCAAGAGGGTCGGTGATTCCTCCGTCCTCAACACCATGAACCACAGGGAGATGGTTAAGATCACAAGGTGGGTGTTAAGTTAAACACATTGTACTTTTGGTTATTCAAATGTCGCACATTTTGAGTGTAAAAGAGCTCAGAGGAAATGATGGAATTATTATTTTAAGACTGTTGAATACTCAATTCCAAATGGTCAATTCGGACATTGTGCTATGTATAACAGACCGTTGCTATGGATGCTCTGACCATAGACTCTGAAGGACCACGTCCAATCATATCGTACCATACCCCAAAAAGCAGTTTGAGGAGTTTTTTTCAAACCTGAACTTTAATACATGGAGAGCATGACCGTTTGGATTCATGAACCCTCAATGGTATGCACTATGATGCCATTTGGGGAAAAAAAAGTTTAGAGTGTTTTTTTGTCATAGAATAGACCAAATAAACATAATCTAAAGACATTTTAAATAAATCATTATTTGGGGGTACTTTTTGGGGTGCGTTGCCTTGAGGCAACACTGTACCATAATGGTAAGTTATGAAAAAAGAGAGTTATTGTTTCAAATTTGAACAACATTTATTCAAAAACACAACAGGTTAAATTGCATGCCAATTAAAATGTGAAAGTCGTTATTTTTTACATTTTAACAAGATTACAGTACATGTCTGAATGTTGCCTGCAGGCAACATTGTACCATTGTGAAAGAACCTTTAGGAATAAATTTCGCGAAGAGCCTAGGCATCTTTCATTCAACTTTATTGAGCCATTTCACAAAATAGACTCACTGCTTGTGGAAGTTCATGAAGCAGTTATTGTCAGCAGTGAAGCACAGGTACGTGACACACTTTGATCACTGCACTTTCACCCTTACAGCCAGGGTATTTGCACCGGCCCTCTTTCTCCACCCACACAGGCCAATGGTCAGTGTGGTCTTGATGCACATGTGTTGATGGCACTGATGAGGAAGAACCTCTGTGCTTCTTCTCAGCCAGGTCTCTGTCAACATTATGAGATGGTCTCCCCCTCTTTTTCAAGACTTTCCTCTCGTTGCAAAGGCAACTTGCAACTTCAGCTTTGAATTTCAGCAGGCTGTACACTTCTTTCTTGGGGATGCCACTGTCCTTGCAGTCCCTGGGGTACAAGAGCCACTCATTCACTAGAGTGAAATCCATCATGTGCAACACGATCTTGTGATGCCACTTCCTTGACCTGACCTTTGTTCTGTAGAGAGCAATCAGCGAGTCTAGAAGATCCACTCCTCCCATACTTTTATTGTATGCATGCACGACACTTGGCGAGGTAACCTGCAATGTTTTTTTCTCTTTCTTATCCCATCTTTGCACAGAGATCGTTGGGTTGGCTTTAACATCAAATGTATCTTGGTTAAATTGTAGAGATCTATGATGACTGGTATGCTTTTGAACAGTTTATACCTAAACACACAATACCACAATATCATGGTGAATCCATAATGGTACGGTGTTGCCTCAAGGCAACATTCTCATTTTAACAAGTTTCCATTACCTAATTAGCAAATTAAGTATATTAAAATATTAGAAATTGAGGTTTACTCACATATTATTGTGAAATCATTAATTTCCAGATAAGAAATGCGTAGGAAATGACGTTTTTAGACACATTTCTTTGAGAGAAATGGCTGAGCTGATCCTTGTGGGAAAGGCGGCAAACAGGGTCTTCAAATTGGCCGCCAGAGAGTCATGGGACAAATTCAAACACTACCATTGGTTCCTTATGGTCCTGCCTCTTTTTTTAAAGTATTGAATCATAATTTGAGATGTATTGTGTGAATGTAAAAGGCAAAAAATGGGTATGTTGCCTGGAGGCAACATCATACCATAGAGAGGGTTAAAGGAAAAATTGCACCCAGTAAATGAAAGATTAACAGAACAAGAACAGCACTGAAAAAAGCAGAAGAGGAAGAAATTCCCATGGTTGAAGGCATCAGGCATGAAGTAAAAGGTTAACTGATCTGTTGCCATTTTTAAAAGGTTTTTTATCCCTTTGCCCTCCTGACACTAAAGCTGTTTACCTCCAGCTACTAAAAATAAACCAACAGCTCCTGACCAGATAATCAGGGTGGTTCTCTATGGGGCCAGGCTGTCTGGCTTTCAATGTGAAACACAAATGACAGAGTGAAGAGCACAGCTGTCTCAGTCTTCACAGGCTGGTAATGTCTGTGACCCGGCAGGCTGTGAGATGTGATGGCAGCCAGAGGAGCATCTGGGCTCCGAGCATTAAAGGAGTCAAAATAATAGTTTCTTTAGTAAGTAGCCGTGTTAGAAGCAGGGTTATGTACAGTACGCCGGACATTATTTTGATATAGACACCCCAAAGGGTACATCGATGGCTATTCCCATGCTGTAATATATCTTAGTATTTAAGTTTACAAGCATCTTTTTGGTCATTCAATTTGTTGCTAATATTTAACCATTTTAAACCACTAAAAAATTGGTTAAAATGGTCATAAATTCCTCCAAAAGATACAAAATAATACACTTAGACCTAGAGGAACAACGTAGAAAGTTCATGCTATGGTTTGGTTCATTTTTCAGCAATTAGAAGGAAAACAATTCTGCTCTGGAAAGTTTTAAGAAAGCTACTTATTTTCATTATTTATATATAATAAGAATAATAATAATAATACATTACATTTATAAAGCGCTTTTCCTGGTGCTCAAAGCGCTTATATATATATATGACAGCCATTTATCCTCTGAATGCAGCTTGAGGTTGTGAAATCGATGCTGTGATTTTCCCAGAAGTACACACAGGTCATTCAATAGATTAAGGTTTAAAAAAGATCATTAGCCTTAAAAGCGGAGACTGCTACAAAGAGTATCTGTCTGTGGCTCTGGTAAAGACAGTTTATTGATTGGGCATGCCTGGGGTTCTTTTGGATGTTAAGGAAAATATATATGTTGTGGGTTGTTACCAACTAATGTTTACATCCAGTAGTAAATCAATAAGGAGCTAAATTGTCAAGGTGGATCGATTGGTGTTTAAATTATTACCAAAAGTCATTATAACTTGTCAGTCTACGGAAAATTGAAGTAAGGAAAGATTGTGATGATGCTCAATAAATGATGGTTATGTTTAGGGAAGAAGAAGAAAGTCAAACACAGACACTCTGTACATCCATTGCTACTTTATAATGTTCTACTAAGTGTAGAGTAAACATCTTTAGTTAGACTGTTGGAACCAATTGTAATGATGGGAATGTTCTGGATATGACAAACAGGGATTTAAGATGTCACATGTTAGCACGTTAATGTCAACAGGTAAAGGGCAACATACACAGCCTCTTGGCATTAAAGCACATTACCTATTAAGAAAAGCTGTGGTTGTATCTTGATTTCTTCCTTATACTGCTAATGCCAGATATACTGATACTTAATTAAATGGTACAACTCAAAACAGCAAATGTGGTTTGTAATTAAAGTCCACTTTTAACTCAAAAACTTGTTTTGCTTCTTTGGAACCTCAGGGGCATAAACATCGGATATGGACTCTCCAATGTCGTAGAACATATCTGAAATGAAAAATGAAAAACAAATTGCATATATGAATGGGTGTCATTTAGAGATTGCTGCGGGTTCTTCAGGTGCCAGGGTCCTTACATTTTACATGATCAGTGGCGCATTTTAATGGAAGAGTGCTGTTATAGGTGTAAGTCATTTTACTTCAATTATTTCTTGCTATAACAAGTCAACATGTCTGCTGTGATTTTCTACAGGAAAAAGAAACGAGCGGTAAAAATGATGATCACCATCGTCCTGCTTTTCACCATTTGCTGGGCCCCATTCCACACGGTCCACATGTTGTTTGAATACAGTGAGTAGGACGTTTCAATGCCAAAAGGAAATAGGAACAAAAATAGCTTAACGGTCACCTATTATGCAAAATCCACTTTTCTATGTCTTTTACACATAAACATGTGTCCCCTCTGTGTAAAGAGATTCTGAAAGTTTCAGGAAAAAATATTCTCTCTCTCTTTGTCCTGATCCATTTATATAAAAATCTGTCTGAAAATGAGCTGATCACATTTTGGCCACTTTATGATGTCATAACGATTTTTTGGCCTTGTGTACCCATTAAGCCCAATCACCCAACCAAGGTAAGGTACCCCCCCCCCACCTTATCACCTGAATCTCCTCCTAGAGCACCACTGTGTTATTTTTAACCAAATATCTCTCAGAGGGGCGTGGGGAGTGGCTCCTTATTTTCATCTAAAGTAACAGACAGAGAATCAGCACTTCTGAAACAGGGCTGAAACAGAGGGGATTATGGGATGCTGCAATGATCTGTTTGGTGTTTGGAGCCAAACACATGTTTGTATATACCTGAGACCTATAATATATTGATAAAAAACAGTATAATAGGGGACCTTTAAATGCAAATCCTATCTGTCTGTGAAGCTTTACAGTTTGTGTTCAACCATGTCTGTGTTTCATTCACCAGATGACTTGGAGAACAAATATGATGGAGTTACAGTCAGTATGATACTCGCCATCGTTCAGGCCATGGGGTTCTTCAACAGCTTCAACAACCCCATCGTGTACGCCTTCATGAACGAGAACTTCAAGAAGAGCTGCGTCTCCACCTTGTCCCACTGCATCAGGAAGCCTGACCAGCAGATCGCAGCGGTGGCGCCCAAACTAACTGTGCAGTTCATCAAACCTCAGAGCAGAGAAGCCTTCCTGAGGACAAATGAAGGCGATAGCTCCAAGCAGGACTCGGCAGCGAAAGGACCTTCAAGCTCCTCTCTTGGAGAGAGCCTGATGGAAATAATCGGGGAAAAGATCTCTACCATCCAAACAGATCTCCCGGCAAATGGCTCCTCTCAAGTCAAATGAACTGGCTAAAAGTTCTGGTGAGCGACCATTGAACACCATCCTGTTGGCTTTAAATCAACCAGCTGGGGATGAGTCAGATGTGGTTTCATGCCTCACAGTTGTGGTTCGAAGACCCAAAAAAGTCCAATAGCTTGGGAAAGGTGCAAGAGGCAATAGAATATTCTTTTTGTTGTGGTGGAGAAAAAGCAGGAAGGAATACCAATGACAGCATTTTTGCGATAAAGAGGACTGTCCTTGGAGCCATCCGTACCAGCGGTCTGACAATTAAATTGTCATTTCTTTTCTAAATGGAGATAAATGTCTAAAGTCTGCAGGAAATTCATCCCCTCTTAGTGGGAACTTATTCAGTGCTATGTTGGAGGGGACCACAATGTTATCCCATGTTACAGTATGGTACACAGGGAACTGTTGAGAAAACGGCAAATCAAGCACACTCACTTTACTGAGCCATATGCCTTTTAGCCGAGCATGATGATCAGAGACACTGCTCTCACTTATCTTTCAGTTGAACAATTTATAATTGAATGTAATGTTCTCCTACAATGAGCAGTTGGGGTCAATAGACAGCCCTGAAAACACAGCCCTTGTACAGAAAATGTGCCCCTTAATCACCATTAAGGATTTAGTCATAACGTTTTATAGTTAATTGGAGAATAAAACAGATGTATTTATATGTGCATTAAAATTGCGCAACCTTATACGACACGTATTTAATTTGATCAGAATCTCCTTTTATCACTTTATACAATCTTTTTGAACAAATTCAAACAAAAAGCATAAATAATATGCCCTGAAAGGATTGCGGTATTACACACACAAGGGACACAATTCGTTTTTATGTTGTTTGCTCAATGGTGCTGTGGAATATTTTTGTATTGTTGATATATAAATGTAATGTGAATGTGATCACTTTGGTGTATCTCCAAAGTTAGCTACACGTCCTGTGATGATTTGTTTGGTAACAACAGCTTGGCTTTTAGCTTCTATACAGGGCTCTATGCAGATCGTCTTATTAAAGCTGTCGCTGTTTTTAAATGCAGATCGCTAGACTAGAATGCCAGTAGCTTTGGTTCTTGGCTTGTGTCACACAAGTCCTTGAACAACTGTGTCAGTGGCATTTTATACCGTGTGCTCAGTCTCTTATGCAAGAAACTAATTTATTAGATGACTTATTGTAACTTGTTTCTTTCTTTGCGGCATAAATAAAAATGGGGTATTTTAATATTATATTTATTTTAAATAAAGGACTGTATGAACATGACTTGAGTAGGGAGGGGGTGAACCCTAATGTTTCACTGTTTAATAAACCAAGGCATTCCCCGGGGCAATTAGTATTTTGAATTGTATTTGTTGTGACATTTCGACATACACTACAATATTTCTTCTGATATTTTTGAACACATACTATAAACTCCGAAATACTATACTTCTATATATTTCAGACATAAAAATAAATCTTTTTTTATATTTGAAACTTTGTAAACAAACATTGAGTCAATGTCCGGTAATGATCTGACCTCACCGAACCTCACAGGGTTAAAACAGTGTCTTGAAACGTTATGTTACAAGCTTTAGAAATTGATTGGTAAACAACTATTCCTGATCACTTGATCCACAAATAAAAATGCTTTCCCATGATTCTGTTTATTTTATTATATACATTATTTAATTACTTGGATTCACACAGGATGAAACATGTATACTCCAATGAACTGCTGCCTATCGAATATTCTGTGAAAAATATACATTTTTCAGAAAAGGACACCTGTAAGGTTATATCTCTGAAAACAAGCATTTTATTATACAATGCCAACATAAGTGCCAAACCAGAAGAGACCAAATCTTCTTTATGATTAAGAGGTAAACCTTTTGTCTGCCGCACACTTGTTCAGAGGCATTACGTTGAAAGATCATGTGATTTTCATAACATCTTAATAAACACAGGAAACACACAAGTAAAGAAAGCCAAAAAGTTACATCAAAGCCACAGTTAACTGGAAGAAGCAATTTCACTGCCTCTTACCTGCTCACAAACGTGTTGTGTAAATGCAATGCTGAATCCTCAGTTTGTGGCAACTTAGACAATATCCTTCCCCCCCAAAAGAGACTTCATAATCATATTTTCTGAATATCTCGACAGAGGAAATGTCAAATTCTTCGCCAGGCACTTCTGTATTTGCTGAAGATAATCTCAACATGTCTGTAGACAGCAGGAGGGGGGGAACAAACAACTTCAAAACATATTTGCTGCTTCTTCCCACACTGCTATGTGATCAGCGGTATATGGAAGTCCGCATTGTCAAAGAGGAGAGGCCTTTTGACTGGAGAGGGATCCTTCTCAGCCTTGTGGAGCAGTTTGAACAGTCCTGTTCCGATGTTCATTGGGATCCCCATGATGATACACTCAGACACACCTGAAACAAGAACACAGGAAATATCAAGACCCACTACAGCAAAGAGTGAAGCTCTATTTCCACAGAGATGAAGCATGTCTTTACCACAGACTGAGTCCTTTTGTCCGAAGTACGCGGCATCGAAGAGATGATCAGCTGTTTTCTCGAAGGAGGCCAGCATGAGGACACTCTCCTTCATTTTGGCTAAACCAAACCTGGTGATTCCCAGTATCTCCCCCTGAATGGATAGAAAAACAGATTGCACACATTTGAAAAGGCTTCTTACACTAGGAAGATATATCAGTATTTGGACTGGTCATACCTTGTAGGACATGAGATCTCCTAGAAGCATGACGTGGCGCCGGTCAATGCTCATTCCATGGTTCGACATAGTGTACTGAATCTCATTTATGATGGTGGATCTGGCCGCCTCAATACCCAAAGTCTTCTCCACCTAGAAAAATGCAAATAAAAGCTTGTAAGCACAAGATAACTCACCCCAGTCAGTTTAGTGAAGGCCATTTAACATTCTGCTTCAAAGACTGACACGACCATTTGCCAAACATTCTGCCTCAGACTTTAAGAGGTTATTTATTTCCTTTATCAGTGGAGCGAGGCAGCCCCCAGGAGAAAGTATTAGCTTTGGTTTTCAGGCAACATGTTCTTGTTTATATTCCATTTTTCATCTGACAGGGAAGCAGAATAGCAATGAGCAGGAGGGCAGATGTGGAACCAAACAAAGGACTCATGCAGGGCTCGTCTTAACATCTTCTACATCTCTGTTTGCAGATACCTCATATGTGTTGTTTGAAGTAGTCTTGCTTCCTTTCACTCCATGCGTTGCCATGACAGACCTCAGGTTGTCCCCCTCCACCAGGAGCTTGTACATGGTCTTGGTGCTCTGTTCGTCGATGTGAATCACAGCTCGGGAAACTTCAGGTATCCCTTGAACCACCACCTTTCCAATTGAGAAATAAAAAACATGAACTTTACTTCTCAACACATTTAGGAGCACCACGTGAATTAAGATCCAGCACAAAACATAAATAAGCCTTCAGTGTGTGGAGTGAGTACTAATCAGGGCTTTGGAAACTGATTTCTAGGTCAAAAAATCTAATTAAGAATGTGGAGAAAAGCAGATTATCACCTTAGGAAGTTCCCCTTTTAATTGCTGCAGCACGTAGTACATGGAGCTTTTGTTGTTCTCTCGCGGAGACACACACACCACCGCCTCGCCGTGCACAGCGATGTCTCCCGGCTTCACCCGGAGTTTGGACATGCAGATGGAGTAACGCACTGTTTCCGCATTTACCTGGAAGAAAAACACGAGAAATTTGAGGCAAAGCATCCGTTTGTTATTCTTTTAACAAAAACACTTCGGAAACAGAAAGCCATCAAACAGTGAGAGGAAGAAAGACTTTGGTGCTTCATCACAGGCTCTTTGTTTGAACTCCAAAATCAATACAATTGAAATGTGTCTTTAGGGTGACTTACAAAATCTGTCCAGGGGACTACAGATGAAAAATAGCCTCTCGAATAACTCTGGCACATTCACAGCGATGTTAATTAATGTGCACTGTCCCTGTTGATAGGGTTCACTATTCTCTCTCTGGACCCAAATTATTGTGTCACTATGACAACAGTATTCAAAAATAAATGAATACCCACATAAGAAGGTGCATTTCCCCTTGTAAATGTGTCCTATTTAAAATATGTATCTGTGGCATGCTCTGATGTAGAAGTGAAAAAATACATCTTGAAAAGTTGAGAAAACCAACCCTGCAATATCAGTTACACTCCAATATCTATATTTGGATTGTCAACGTTTTCTTATTCAATAACTTAACTCAATTTCCAAATGTTATCCTCTTAACAATAACAACATGGTTCATTACTGGAGAAAAAAAAGGTGTAGCAGGGCGAGTTGTGATGTCTCCATGGTCCCAGATTAAGCAATTACTGTGGTAAACACTGTGTAATCATGGGTGGATAAACTCGAGCTGTTTTTAATCAGTGTGGAAGTGGGCATGCATTTGGAGTACTGTGACACTGTGCTACTACAAATAAAAAGATAATGGGTGGTACCTCCAGGCGCAGCAGCCTTATTCTCTCCAGGGACAGTTTCACCAGGATGAAGCAGTCGTCGGGTAGAAAAACCTCTTCTATGTACTCAGAGATCTGAACAGAACAGGAAGAGACCGTGGCTTCATTACAGCACTTCAACATGTTCGCACACGATTAACTGTGGACAAAATGGTGTATAAAATATGCATGCGGTTGGAATACCTCTCCAAGAAGTGTTTTCTCGATCCTCCCCTTCACCAGCCGGGCAAAGTCAGCGTCTTCGTCCACATCCAAATGAGCCGTGATTATAGGGGTGCTGAGTGGTGAGGAGAGGACTAAATTAGGGATGTGTATAAATGACTGTGACACAGAGATGATGCTGTAGCCCCGCACAGCTTATTCTGCTAAATGCCCTAATTCAGTTTCTAATCCATTGATTTAAGAAGGAACTGCTTAATTTAAAGTGGCTTAAAGCAGCAGGAAATGTCACACAAAGGATCTGCTTCCTCTCTCTTCTCTGCCGCTTTATCTCTCAAACCTGATGTTCTTTGATGCATTGATAATCTCTTTGATGCGAGGCACCCCCAGAGTGATGTTCATGGACGCCACACCGGCGAAGTGGAAGGTCTTCAGGGTCATCTGAGTGCCGGGCTCTCCGATGCTCTGGGCACAAAGAGCTCCCACCGCGGAGCCCGGCTCCATCTGAGCTCTGCACGGGGAAAAAACACAAGAAAAGAGACGGTCTTTGGTCTATCACTCTTTCATTAAGCTGGAGTGTGTACAAGGTGTACAAGGGATACAAAAAGCCAATCACTCGACACAAATCCACTGTCAATCTGCAAAAACGTTACCAAAGGTGTTGTTCTGGCGAAACAGCGATGTCCCGTGAATTCCCTCGCCAACGACGCGTTTCTGGACGCAGTGCCAGTGCTTTTGGTGGCTGACCTAGGGGTGGGCGCGACTGCAAGTCTCTCTGTGTTTGCCTATAGACCACGACGTCTCTCGCGCAGAAGGCCTCCATTGGGAGTAGTGTTTCATCACCGAGTAGAAAATTTCAAGATAAAAAGAAAATATAAGACTTGTTCGTGATCTTCACGAATTTGAAATCCTAAAGTGGAAGAGTAGGTAGCACCTATTTTTGCCTCAATTAGCCTGTGTGTCGAAACGGTTTTACTTTTCATCGATTTCACCAGGAAGAATCTTACACTGCATGTCGTCCTTGCAAATCTTTATGTTTCGTTAGAAACAATCTCGAGTGTCGAATAAGTAACTACTTTGTTGAGTTGTTTACAAATAAATCGTTACAAGTATAAGTTCATGCTGAAGTACTCTTTATCGTATTTGTACAAAGTTTTTCCCACTCTTTCAATTCGTTTAAGTTAGTTTCTAAACGTAGGACGTAGTTGTTAAGAGGTTTGTCCAAAAAAAAAAGAGGTAGAAATTACTATATTTGGTAATAAGATAATCACTTCCGAAAACTGCTGGTTAATTTTACCTGTTCCGGCTCTTTCTATAGTGGAATTCTTCTATTACTACGTTATGAAAACGTGTTACACGAAGGAGGGTCTGGTCTCGGTGAGTTATTTCACTGTTCCTCTAAGATTTGTGACTTGAAAAGTCACATGTGCCGTAAATTCCCTATTCGACACCTACAATACGAAAGTTAAGTGTTCCTAACGGTGATTTGGAACGAACGGGGCGAAAATCTGTATAATATTAGCTATCCACTCGCCTACAGACAAGCGAACTCATTCCTGTCCCCCCCCGCCCCGGCTCCACGTTTTCTTACTGAAGGCGACGCGGCCTTTGTGTTGTTAATAAGTCCGTTTCATGTTGTGTTTCCTATGAATTCCTTAACTGTTACTTCTTAGTATCAAAACAGGTGGACAAAATTCCCGTGTCCTACGGCACGCGGAAAGGTTGCACTCAAGTAGCAGGAAAATCAAAAGAAAAACATATAAACAAAAGACGCTTCACACTACGGCTGGATCCTTAATTCGTTGTTCAAAGTAGTATTATATTATAAAACTTGGCAAAATTTTTTTATGTATAAAAGACCTTGATATTTCCCAATGTTTATAAAGTTAAATTAAGTCCCGACGACAGTATAGACAAAATTGTCTAAGTCGATTAATATAGTTGAGATATTTCGTAAACTTATCCTAAGAGACAAAAACTTTTTCCCATGTAATAGGAAGATTTCAGTTACTTTCTGAGTTTTATTTGGAAGACAATTATATTTCAGACGGTCTAAAGGTTAACTATTATCGTAATGAACTGTGAGTAAAGCGATCTCTACCTACATGTAGAGCGTAATATCTGTTTCGTCTCTTTATTAGTATGGCAGGGAGCCAGTCCAGTTTGTAGAGTACTTCGTGTTTTTGTATTAATTCTCACAAACGAAAACTGGCATACGAGATTACTCCTGCGACACTTTCATAATCCGCCGAAATCTTTGTGGTGCGGCAAAGCGGTAACGTAATTGTAAGAATGGCAGTTGTAAGATTGAGTACACTCCAGTTCGGTCAATGTACGTCTATTAGACTACCTCGAACTCCCTCATTAAAGTACACTTGAAAGGGGAAAGCACTTCCTCAATTGACTCTGGTCCGAGTGTTTGTCTTCAGTGACCTCTTATCCCACTGCTCGTCTGGACCTCACACGAAATTCCTGCGGCTCCTCTAGCCGCACAGTCGTGCTTGAGGTTTGTCTAACTATTATTGAGTTAATGGGGTGACAACGGAAAAAACACGACTAATAACATTCGACGACTCACGAGAGAAATTTTGTGTTTAGACTACAACAATAAATTGTCTCTACCAAGTGGGGACACTTGATGACCCACCAGTCAACGTAACTAAATGACAGTAGAAGAGTGTGTGTGACGACTGTCCACATAGCAAAGTGTCGCGTGTGTGAAGCCCATTAGACAAAAATAAGTGCGTCTAAGTAGGAGACTGTATACGACTTAACAGAAGGACTTGACATCGCTCTAATTCCTTTAAACATTCTTGTAGAGTCTTGCCTAGTTTTTCTGGTTCTCTGTTTATGCCGTAGTTGCTGTTACTGTCGCTCCAACCGTAGTGTGTGGACAATTGACTTACACAAATCTATGTCGTTACAGGAAAGTTGGATGTAGAATAAAAACGAACAAAAGGGTGAAAACAACCACGTCGGTTTTACGTAAATAGTGCTACGCTGGCGTATTTGGGGTTGGGTCGACCTCTTCCAAGCGAACTTTGGACGTCCGTTGTTCATGTACTCCATGTTATCACTCGGACAAAAGACACCCAAGTAGACTTTTATACTTCAATACCCGTTTGTAAAAGTCAGGTCAAAGAAGGGACTTGCGTAGAGTTGTCATGCGAAAATGTCACTATTATCTGACTTGATTCTGATTTGCGACGAATTCAACAAGAGTGACGCGTGTGGAAACGGTCAGGTGACCTTATTCACAGTCTTTATTTGTCTGCCTCTAACCAAACTAAGATTTCTAATGTTGTCATTGAAATATTCATATCCAGAATCGGCTGTCCTAGGCCGTCACCGCGAGTGAGTCATCCGTCCGAACCTGACCACTCGGCATCCCACGCGCGGCAAAGTCTCAGGGGCTGGTCTTGATTTATAACCTCACACCTGACGGATGAACCTCTCCCAGGGTCAAAGTGGAAGGACGGGGACGGCACCAACGGGGGAACTCGTTCCGTGGCTTGTAGCGGGAAATCGGACCGGTAGACGAGGATACATGATCGAAGGACCGATGCATCCTCCCCAATTTTTCGTCTCCTTGTGTGTACAGTGAACCACACACGAATGAGTTACGAGCTCATGCGAACGAACCATCTGTACAGAAGCTCGCAGAAACGAAGTCTTCGCTCGTTCTTATGAAGGACCGTAGCCTTTTGTTCTCACCTTGTCCGGATCGCTTCACACGTCCACACGCAGTATACTCTCTCCGGGGGCGGAAATGTACAAGGCGGTGTCCTAAACCCTTTACCAGGCACGCGTTTCGTAACGACGCCCTAAAATTCTGGCGCCTCAGAAGTTGTACACGTCGGAGTTCTCACAGAGGGTTTGCTTCATACGGGCCCGAGCCATTCTTAAGGTTCATTCGACCTGAACAACCTTGTCGTTGAACCCGCCGTGAGCTACTGCATCATACGGAACTTTATCCACGAAGACCTCACCGAGACGCTCGTCGACAATGAGACGCTATCTCTTTGTTGGGACATACAGCACACACACGAGACGTACACACTGGCAATTTCTCCCAAAGTAGCGGAAGGTTAAAGAAGGAAGAAGAAGAGAGATTAGTTTGGTGGGGTTTAAGTTGCCAATTTTCTACTACGGACCTTTTTCAAGGCTTTCGACAAGTTTAGTAGAATTTCCAGACGTAGTTTTAGTTTACTGGTAGGAATGTAAGGTGTGTTTACAGTTGGAAGTTCCAGGACTGTCCTTTCTTAAAGTAGTGAATGCATCAGTGGTCAGGAAGGCTACCAAAGAAAACCATTGGTACCTCCTAAATGTGCTAGTTTACAGTTTGGGACACGGACATACAACACTCTCTTTCGGTAACGATAAAGTCTTCGGTACAGGGGATCGGGTATTCGATTGTCGGGGTTTCACAATTTGACAGACGACTGTGACGATCTACGATGTAAAACTTTGGTGTAAAGTTAACAAAGAACAAATTTCAAATTTTTAGACTAAAGAATCAATGTTAGTTTTTTTACATAAAATGTTAATTGCTGTCAAGAGATACTAATTACGACGAAGTCGTGTCATGTAAGTGCGTCATGT